CACTTTTACCCAACAACGACGAAGCAAAAAATAATGTCGTATTTTTTGCCGATAAGGTTCACTATTTTATCAGATTTTTTATGTCTGTGGTCCGAAAGTCTTGCATGTTTGACTCTGTCCTATTAGCTTAACGATAAATTAAAAAAGCTTTACACGAAATATTCTTTGAATCCATTAAAACGTAGCAGCGCAATGAAGTGTGAAGTACGCAACTATTGGAACATCTAATGTTACAAACACAATAATGGATTAGTAAGAAAAAGGCATAAAAAGTTCTTATTTTAATGAAATCAAATGAAATATCTTTATTCGAGTAAGCTTGTTACAATACTTATTTTAATGAAATATCTTTATTCAAGTAAGTTTGTTACAAGCACTTTTAAATCGTCCAATTTTTTCCCCTACCACTCGTTCAGGACGTCTTTTAGCTGACAAGAAGAATAAGCGAAAGAAACTTACCAGCTCTTTATCATAAGTAATAAGTACGTTTTTTCAATGCCACTACATTGCAAAAGTTTAAGTTAAAAAGAAAACAATACTGCTTAGCAGCAACCTATAATAAACCCACGAAAAATATATGGTTTGGCGAATAGCCAAAAGAGTGAGTGTTTCTTTATTATTTTTAAGTGATAACCTAAATTAGACTGCAGATTTATATTCAATCATTCATCATCAACTTGGCTTTTGCACGAGATCTCATCTGCTTATAAATACTACTTATAAACTTTGCTAAAAGGTGTGGTTGCAGTTTACATGGAATAAGCTCTATATCGACGTTATTTTTCCTGTCTCTAAGAACTTCATGAATAACATCATCCAAGGGTAAAAACTACATTAGAATCCGATTAGTACTTTTATTCAGACCAATGAATGCTGCAAAGAGATTTAATGTAAAACTGTAGTATTTGTCATTGAAAAAAAAAATTTATCGTTACCAGCCTAAGTAATCAACTAATAAAATTCATATTATCTACGATGAATGTGATATATAACAGAAAAAAATCTAGCCAATCATACAGATGATCAAACATTTCGTTGACATAAAGCACAATTCCCGCGACGTTTGTCGAGATTCCCACAAGATTACAATCAATAATTACGCTTGCAAGATGATGTACCGGGGAATGCTATTACTATACAATTTATACGGGAATCGTCAAAATCGACTTCACGTCAGGTAAATCTTAGCGTGTCTTATTATTATGGGCGTAAAGTTCGAATTTGTTGATCGGAAAATTGACTATGAAATAGTAAAGTGTGGCGTTTAACATGGCATCCCTATTGTGTCTCGATTCTCATGCGCAAACCATCAAACTGATTCTCAAAACTTATTCCTTGTGTGAACGAAGAAAGAATGTTAATGCTTCCGCTTGAACTTGAAGTCACACAATAGTTATAGGTCGTTATGTAACGTTGGCAAATTTGTCTATTAAGTTTTCTGATCATGTACGCTGATCTAGTTTGTAATTATTATTCACGATTCACGTTTGTGGTCTTCACAACAGTTCATAATATAAGTAGCCATTGCTTTTGAAATGATTCGATTTCTAGATGGTACAAAACTTTGTTCAAAACGATTATGCAAGAAAATATTTGTACAGAATATCAACTTGTGTTGTTGCGAAACGGTCCTTTTATAGGATTAATATTCTTCGCACACAGAGACTTATGACGCAAATAATATAGAATATAGGCACACACACTGTTGAATTTTACAGTAGGGTCTAGGGTATACGATAAATTTGAAACTATTTCTACATTACCGTTCTTGTCAGTTCGTTGATTCGTTATTCGTTTATTATGTGCCATATATTGTACCAAATTTATTATTAACATTGAAATTAAAGCTTTTATTGTAAATAACTTTCGTAATTGAAATGTTCGAAATCAATGCGTTGTTTGTGCACTTGCTAAAAATAAATACTTGTAAATATTTGCTCGTTATGTAAGACTGCGACATAAAGCAAAATGAAGGTGAACAGGTCTGCCATCAGGTCTCGACAATTAAATCCAGGATATGACATAAAGAGACTTTTTTTCCGAATGGCCGTGGGAACGTGCTTCTCGGTGAATCGGCATGTTAAATTTGTGCAAAATCCTGTTTTGTTCAAGTGATTATAAAGACCATTGTGGATTTATAGCTAGTAAACGTGTTATTACATTTTCTTTAGTAGCTGTGAATGGCACGGTTGAATTTGTTATATACGTACAATTTGATACTCTTACAGTTATGATGACTATACTGATGTTGAGTTTGAAAGATGTAACTATAATACCCTTTGGTTTCAAATGGTTTTGGTAAAGTTTACAATACCTCAATACAATCACTCAGTTATACTAAGGCATATATTAATAATAAATAATGTAAACATCTTTATTGCTAACGTATAAAGATTTTTGATAACACTAACACTATCGTATATCAATATTATCTTTGAAAAGTCAAAAACAAATCCGCCCAGCTACCTATCTTGACCCTTTGTGATGAAAATATTTGTTTTAAACAACTATCCAATGAATCAATTAAGAAAGTAAATAAATTGCGTTACAGTACAACACTAAATGTAACGAAATCATTGTTTCTTATGTTCAGACATGGGATTACTGTGTTCTGTGGGATTACTAGACTCCTAAACTCTCCAATAGAAGATTAAACAAAATCAAAGGATTACTTGTCTAATGAAAGTATTAGTTGTCTTTCGTGAGTTGAATACCTATGTAGTTTATATATAATATAATAGTTTTAGTATTGTTAAGACAACATATTTATTTACAAAAAAGTAATTTAATATATTTAAACAGTACTGATATTTTGATTTCATATAAAAATATTTCATCATCAAATTATAAATCTGTCACCAACTATAAACCCACTGCTGGAGCACATGCCTTCCATATCGATGGAATCGAATCGAGCAGGGAGGATGACCCACCACACGGAGGATGGCCCAGTGAATAGGTTGGCACATTTTTAAGCACGGAGGAGCACGACATAATGTTTCATTAATAATGTTTCGACCCTTTTGAAATTCTTAACTTCCGCATAGTAGACTGATTGCGCCAACCACTACCCTATCGAGATTCATTGCGTTATTCATTTTAATTAAACAAATTTCAGGTATAATGAAAAATTCCGTTAACATCCGGGTACAGTAGAGATCATAAGTAGCCACATTTTATTTCACTTTTTTTTCTACCTTATCACTGATATTAGTTGGTTAAAACAATAGAAAAAACCTATCAATTTTTCACCACAATAGGAAGAATAGGAAATCTATGTACTAATTCCTATATATCCGTGTTTGTCAAATGTTGATTTAAGGATTAAGATTAATTGCGCTCCATAAATAAAATGTTGCAATCATACTTCTAACTGGTTCTTTGTCGATTTTTACGACTTATAGACGATAATGAGCTTCGTAGCTCATTGAAACATGGAACTCTCTTATTCTTTCGCCTTCAGGACAGAATTGTAGCTTAATTTTAATGGTTTGCTTAAAAGTCTTTTCTCCGAAAACCGCAATCAAATTACGTATAGCTCCGAATGAATTCCATCAAAGACAAGATAAATACTTAACATCTGACTGCACCAAATGTGCACGTAACCCTCCCTATCATCATTACACACGTCAGGTGTTAGGGCACGTGCGGGCGACATCTGTCGGGGCATAAAGAAATATTATTATTTAAGTTTATTGTACACCTCTCTTTCATGACATCTGCTGCTGCTAGTCTATTTTAACCTTTCAGCTGTCGTTCTGGTTCGAACATTTGCGTGTTTTTTTATATTTTTGTTACTTTAGAGGGTAAATAGATAAAAGTGAATAAAGCCTTGTTACGTCATCTATTTGTAGCTATCTTATATAAAAGTATGAGAATACATCCTTTAAATGATTGATCGTCCTACCAACAGAAGTTAACCTTTCAATAATAGGAAACTAAGATTGAGAGTAACTATTCTCGGTGCCGCTTATGCAGAGTTTGGGTTGTATGGATCTCTACATATTATTATTATGCGGTATTTCCTAGGGTTCCATAACAATATTATATAGATCAGTGGTTAGAGCTGTCGTGCGGATTCGAACTATCTCAGGGTGCTGGTACCCTACATTACATACCTACATTATGTCGTCGTTTACATAACGACCTATAACTATTGTATCCCTGGGGATCAAATGGATTTTTTAAGCATATTTCATTAAGAATATATTTCAGTATAGATATATTTCAGATCAAACAGGTATAATAATAATAATAGAGTTATGTGAATAATTATTACCTAAAGTTTTATGAACTAGCCGTTATCTCAAAATAAGCAGTGTTTAAGTTTGCTAGGTATTACATTTGAAAATATTTAAAAATTCATTTCTTTGGACTCGTATTCGTATTTTGAAAATAGACTAATTTTCGATTCGGTGAAACTGAAAGGCTTATTCTATTGTTCGGGTGTCATGTTAATTCGCACGGGTTATTATTAGTGAAGTTAGAAACTATTATTCTTTGTAAATAATGTTTACTTTTAATCTGATTTTAAAAAGTATATTTTATTAATAACAAATTAGGGTGGAGGCCTCTGGAGTCTTATAAAAGTAAACGACTTGTTAATGGTGTTTTGTTGCATTAAAAGATACTACTATATGCATAACAACTTAAGGGCCTTCTTTATTTTCTTAAAATCATTTGTTATAAAAATACCTTCACTAATATCTAACTCGATTCCGATTTAAAACGACAAGGCTTAATGCCGACAAATTAATAAGTATAAAAAAACTTGACCAAGCAAGATCATGTAAAATGCAAAATCGAAATAGCTGTCCGACCAAGTGTAACGAAAAACAACTGACGACCGACCGTGAACGATTGAAACCTTTTTTACTATTATTTTAACGATGGAGGTCCGTACAAAAACAAAAGCAGTGCGCTCCAACAAGAAATGGAACAAGAAGTGTTATAGTAAAAAGCATTGGACCAGAATAAAAACTGATTCTTCTCTTTTTCAGGATTGCCACGGACCAGAGTTCGATGATCTCGCAGTTGCTGATGAGGTGCAAAATTACGAACTGATTTCTGGCTATCAGAACGACACTCACACAACCGTCGAGTTTAGAAGACAATTGGACACGTGCGACAAACAAGATTTCGCTATTGGTGTAAGTACATATGTTGTCATGAAACAACCAACTACACCTCCCCGAAAACTGATTTAACTTCAAATTTCCCCATTAGTTCCTTGTTTGCTTGACATCAGAAGCCGCATTTTCAAACAGTATTTTATATCAGTTCTATATCTTAATACTAGCGCCCTGATGCTGCTGATTTTAGCGTAATTATGGCTGATTAATAGAGCCAAGGCAGGATCCTGACCTTAAAATAGGTTGTGGAGCAACCGCCCAAAAATAGGCCTTGCGCGATTTAGAGTATGAACTTCTGCCCTCCCCTAAATAGTGCATTTCTGTAAAGGTTGTACAGTGCATAGTTCAACGTGAACTATCAACTTCTATAGATCATAAAAATGTGCCGCCATAACTCTATTAGTATTATGGGCGTGCCCATTGTTTCCATGGATCCACCCCTGAATGGCGCTTCAATTACTTACCACAAATATTTTACAAAATAGTTCTTGTAACTAGTACACAAAATAGCGGACATATCTTTCACCAATGAATTGTGAAGAACATATTGCACTTATTATATTGAAACTCAGGTAGATAGATACAACAGCAAAATGCAAGCAATTGAGACGCCATTGAAATGCGATTACTTACTACGTTAATATTAGTATTTAATTGTGGCCATACCTAACGTGGTTGAGTTAAAAATGGGTCTCTAATTGATCATATTCCTTTTTGTGTAGATGTTACCGTAGATAATTAAGAAATTGCTAATTTGACCCTTGTCAGTGGTTCTTTTTTTGGTGTTCTGCCAGACTTGTCAGTTTATAATTATGCATGCATTATTTATATTAGCTTTAATATTAGTTATAGTATTATTATTCTACATACTTCTAATACCGGGTATTAGACGCGATTTTACACTGACCTGCGCCGACGTTTCGGCCGGGTTGCACCGACCGTGGTCACGGTTGCCTTTTAGAAAACACTGGATTCCACGCTTGTGACAATTTATATCCGCCTTCCCGACTGAAGTTATTAGGGTGTTTCTTATTTTCAATCGCTTCACTCAATACTCTTGAATAAAAGTGGCGATCCATGGGAAAGACTTGCGTATGGTAAAACTCGATCTAGTGATTTGTGCCCCTTTCTAGTTGGTGTTCCGCAATGGCAGACTTACTCGACTGATGGTTTTTAATCCATTACTATAAGTATTTAATAATGCAGCGCGATAGTTTAAAAGTGAATATTATTTAAACACGTAAGCGCCGAGTGACGTCATTGGCGTGGCATTACTGTCTTTATCTCTAAGTAGAGTGTAAATACCAAAACTTAGTCATTTCACGTAGGTATATCGGCCTGTAGGAGTTCAATTGCGCTATAATCAGCACGTTTGATCTACGATTGGGAAGGGCCTAACTAGTGCTGTGTCGGGTATGTCTTATGTATTTCTTTACGGATATTTAGCTTATTTTTTTCAAATTGCATATTTGGCGATTTAATATTTACTAAAATTCTTAGCTGTGCCATTACGCAACATGCTGTAACCAACGTCGAAGATAAAAAAGGTCCAACTTTATTTTTGTATAAAAAATCTTGGTTATAGTGTCACTAACAGGTACCTCAGTGGTTTCAGTAAATTTAAAATAATCCTGACTAGTGGTTGTTAACGTCAAGTTGCAGAAACTATCAAGGCACCAATATCTATTGACTACGATATTTCGGTTAAAGTTCTTGAAACCATATATCCGCATCTATTCCTATCCATATCAGCGGATAAGCTTTGTAAACGGTCGTGTATATACATCACTAGTCCTAAACGCATTAGGACCAAGTGATGAAATTTAGCGTTATTCTTTCTATGTGATTATAGGTAAGGCTCCGTTGTGTAATTAAGAGTCTAGCGTTGATGATGTCTATTTTATTAATGGATAACAAAAAAATCAAACTCATTTTATGTAGTTCTAGAAAATAAAATAATATTTAGTAAAAACTTTCCACTTCTATGGGAGAGGTTCAACATTAAGTATCATAAGTTTGATGATAATGGTGACTCACTTTCTTAACATCATACGTTAACTATACATTATTATAATATGATAATTACTATGTATTTGATTTGCAGGAAGATACAGTGCAAGTCCTGTGGGCGTTAGGACCGGAAGGTTCTGATGGAGAGCTGCCGAAGCACGTCAAGAGTGGATCAAAGCCTCTGAGGTTACTTCAACCAGTGGCCAAGCCTCAGGTGCCTTTGAAGAGTTGGGATGTGAGATTGAATAATGTAAGTAGCATATAGCAATAGGAGATTAAGGAAACATGTAGCCTTTACCTAAATCATCTAACAATTTTATCTTCTTTTACTGATTTCGAAACAAAAAAGTTTTTTTATATATATATATATATTAATTTTCAAAATAAACGATAAAAGTTCTAAACTCACAATGATGTGTAATAGTAATTAAATTATAGTAATTATATAATAATAGTAATTAAATTAAGCTAATTTTAAATCATTATTTTTATTGTTACTAATATAAATTTCATCGTCACTGATAAGTTTGTTGTGAACGGTTTTTTATCCACTGTCATTAATTTAAAAGACGTACTGGAAAATAAAATAACGAAATATCGGACGATTCAAAAGTTTAAATGATAGAGAATATATCGATTTTTTTGTTTTTTCGAGTTGAGTTTTATATGGATTTTAAGTTTGTTCAACGCATTTATTCTAAGTCATTAATTTAAGAAATTACAGGCACTTGAACAGTTTTTCTTTTGATATTGCCAGCTTGATTTTATAAATTATGGTAAATTTTTTGAAAGTGTAGAAAGTTTATTACTTAAAAGTACATTTAATGGCTAAATAAAACTTTCTAACATCCTTGATTGTTTATAAACAAATACACTTACCGTTTTAGGACTGGATGTTTGTTTTATCAATAAAAATTGAATACATAAATTACATATGAATTGACTTATTCAGATTATAAATTTAAGTTCAGATTATGCATTTAAATTGTCTTTATCTATATTCTAGCCTGAATGTATCCAATTTGAATTAGGTTTCTGTTGGTTATAATCAAAATAAGACCAATTAACTTATTTGTAACAAGAAATAGCATCCAAACAAGCTATAATTAAAAATAAGAAAACTCTATTGTATTTGGACGGGTTCTGTCAATATGTAAATTTGTACAATTTTATCGATAGAAAAACACAACGGTACCCTAAAATATACTGTTTTCTATTCTTTCTCATTGTTTTTTTTTCTCATATTTTATAGAGATATTTCACTTAGTAGCCAAGACGTATACCATCCATACAATACTTTTATTAGTTATTGCTCATTTGCAATGGTCGATTACATTAGCGTGCATATGCGGGCGATTTCTTGGCTACTTTTATACCTCGGTCATTGTTTTTATTGACCTGTTTCGCGTGCGGACCCCGTCGTCCAGTGTAACTGAGTCATAATGATTTGCGAGTAATCCTAATAATTCGTTTTAGGCCATTCTATGTGCCTATCTATTATATTTTTATGGCTGTACTTTTGTCTTCTTTTTGACACCCATGTGTTGAAGCCATATTTGTTTGAGACTATTTGAAGATAAAAAATAAAAAGCAGACTTTTAAATGGACTGTTATTAGAGGGAAAATCTCAATATGATATGAATAATATGCCGCGTCGAGTAGTCCGATTTAGCTTGCGTGCGTTGTCTGAGTGCTCGAGGCGTAGTGATGTGCGCCCCTCCTCGCTAGTGATGTTGGTGTAGGCGCAGATAATGTTGATGAAGAAATAAATGAAAATAAATATTTAGCTACTGGATCTAAACTATATAAATATAAATATATATATATATATATATATAGACTTGGTGTTTAGTAGTAGTTAGTAGAAGACACCAAGACCCCTATTCTTTTAATGAAGTTATAATAAAAACAGTAGTGCTGTCCCACAAATAAAAACACTGTTTGAACAAATTTTGGTTATTGTAAAGTTTTAATACCAAAATCTAGTTTTTGCCAGGCTTAAACAAACCTTAATCTCTATTTTACTTTTGTTTCAGCTCACAATCCCGAATGTAATGGCAACTCTGTTTTGGTGCAAGATTTTCAAAGCTCCGGATCTTCCTAAAAAGCACCACATAGTCGGCTATCAGCCCATAATCGATAGTAGGCCGATTAAAAATAATCGATTATACGAAAAAGACAGCTCGTCTCCGGTCCATCATATGGTGCTGTACGAGTGTGCTGACGACCCTGATAAGCAGCTATGGAACGAATGGGCTGACGGTGACGGATTTTTCGGACCGAACAGGCCGAGCCAATGGGCCACTTGTGTCACCCCGATAGCTGCATGGGCGATCGGATCGAAAGGTAAAACTCTTTGGGATGTTTTGTTGTTAAAATTTCAAATGGCCCACCGGCACCGGCTTCCTTCGTAAAAGAAACAAATGAAAAATGTATCATAAGCTATGACATGGGCAAATACAGTCGAGACCAAAAGCTGAAAGTGCCTTTGTTTGCACGGAGATGCTGTAAATAATAAATTTTTGGTCACCCCTTTTATGATTTACCTGTGGACAACATGGCTTAGATTTCGCAATTGTAGTCTCCAAGCCATATTAGTTTGTCGTAGCCTTAGCTCAGAGATTACTCGGCGATGCTCATTTGGTATAAGACACTCTTCAAGAGAAGAGACTCGCTTGGTATATACGCATATCAGCGATCAGTACATACAAGTTATCACCCACCCTGTTACATTCCTACACTCGCTAGCTCAATGACGAATCAACCGGAATCACAATACTATTTTATAATCAATATATTTGCATGCTATTGTTGATGGCTAAATGGGCTGGACTCATTAATATTGTATTTCTACCTATGATGTATCATTTAAAGGCAAATAAATATTATTTTTTTTTGATGTTCTAAAATAACATTTCAAGCTAAATAGATAAAACACTCGTGTTATCTGAAACAACATAGGTACCACATTACTGAGATAACAATATAGAAAAGTGCATTTTCTACATTAAAGCGACCGGGTATCGAAGCGGGCACTCGCAGATGGCGATGCCTCGAAACAGACGTTCACCACTCGGATACGAAGGTCATCTGCTATTTTCCTTTCATACTGTATGAATAAGCTTATTATAATAATTTCCGTAGGTATTCTAATTACTAAGAATCTCGTGACACATCTCAAATAGTCATATGTACCACGTTGGGTAAATACCATTTATTTGGCTGCTGCATAACATGCCTTAATTAATTCCAGGTGAATACTTGCCGGAGAATGTTGGAATAACTTTAGGCGAGAAAGGAGGCGTGTCTTACTACATGCTGGAAGTTCATTACGACAATCAAGCGTTGCACGAAGGTGAGCCTTTGTGATGTCGTTTTGAAAAGTTAGAATCCATTTTAGTGTACAAAATTAATATTTGACATTTTGAAAAATTATAATTTTGTTGTATACATCATACATGACGTTTGAACGGATTGCTTTTCTGTTTTTATAGTTACATGTATTAAGTTAATGTATTTCTTAATTATGATCTACATACAGCAAGTTTTGATTTAGAACTTCGCTTTGAACTCTATAAGCATCCCGCAAAAATTCATCAAGAACTGCCTCGATTTGTGATGTGATGAAAAATCAACAACAAGTGTTTAAATTTAAATGGGTGACAAAAAAAAAATCGAAATTGCTCTCTTTAATTGATTTAAGCCTTTCAAGTTCCTTTGGCATAATTGGCCTTTCGTACTTAATTTTTTTTTTTTTTGTATAATATGTCAGGCACGGCTTCTACTGTAGCAATGCTTTAAAAATATTTTTTTAAATTTCATTTACAATTGCTGCTGGGTAGGCGAAGGACCTGGACATACAGCCAGATACAGATACCACCGCTTTTCCAAAAAGGTACTTTCCTTTTTTAAAATAGCGGTGCATCGGACCTATGACATTATAACCTCCTTTAATTATTTATTTCTTTTCGCAGTCCTAGACAGTTCTGGTATAAAGGTGTACTACACACCGGTATTGCGCGCTCACGATGCAGCATTACTCGGTGCGGGAGTTGGCGTGTCCGCCTTACATCTGATCCCGCCCAAGCAGCGTCAGTACAGAACTGTTGGCATCTGTAGTCCGGAATGTACTGAGAATGTGAGTGATTGGTTTTTGTCCTGACTGTACCACATTGTTAGTGAGCTTTTGAAGTTGCGCTAAATACCGCTTTGTCTATCTTAATTCCCTATTTTTGTATTCAGTTCAAAAAGCCAATGTTGCTTAACACACACATAACAATAATACTATGTTTACAAGACCACCCCCCCCCCCTCCCTCAAATGACGTCACGTAATACTTGAACGCCCCCTAACAGATGAGAGGATTTTTTATAATGTTTATTTTTATTTTAAAAACTTATACAGACGTAATTCTTGCGATCAGTAGGTAGGTTTATAGGTATGATGAATAAAACTATCGATAGATATAAATTAAAATTACAATTGGAGGAATTATGAAATAAAGTAAATGGTTACGCTAATATTATATATACAGGGGTATACAACGTATTTAAGTAATTGACCTAAAATCAAAGTGTGGTGGTACCTTTATCGTGGGTATCTTCCAGTTGTTTATAATAGTTTCTTAATGATTAATTTATTAATTTTGTTTTTATTACAGACAATGCCGACTCACGGGATAAACATCGTTTCTGTTCTGCTTCACGCCCATGGGACAGCAAGGAAAATTGCATTGAAGCATGTTCGTGGAACTCAAGAGCTACCCATAATATCGGAGGTGTGTAAAGTTTTACAAGGCCATCTTGGTAGTAACTCTTTCAAATCGCAGATGAATAGTATCATTTATGTATTTAAGAAGTAGTTTCAATCATTTTCAATAGATGGCACTTTATAGTTTGTGTTAATATTTCTCTGTCTTTTCAACAGATGTCACTAAAATGTATTCATATAGTTCTATTATTGTTTTAGGAAAATTCTTATGACGCCAGATATCAACAATCCCGAGTAGTACCTGGTGGAAGGAAGTTCGTGAAAGGGGATACATTGATAACTGAATGCACATATGACAGTACATCTAGAGACAAACCTATTTTGGGCGGTTATTCCGCATCGCAGGTTAGTAAATTTGCACAAAATATAATTTGGTTTTTGTATTAACTATAAATACGTTACTGTTCTATATCTACATGATTTCATAAAGATTATTGAAAAGTTAATTTAGTAACTTAAGTACAGTTGCATGAATATTGATATAGCAACCGTCTCAAATGAATTTATATATATTAGACAACATTACATACAACACTCCGATCCTAAATTAAGGTAGTTAAAGCACTTGAACTACGGAAATCTTATACAAAAAAGAAGTACATTTTCTTTATTGGCTCGACCCAGAATTGAACCCGGGACCTTAGAGGGGGTGCCACCATGAATGTCTTTATTGTTTAACTACGATATCGACGCTGGAAAGGAAACACGTACTAATCTGCAAAACCAACATTGATATTATTTAGAATAGAAAATCTTTATATTAAAAAAAAAAAACTTATTTCCGTAAAAAAATACTTAAGAACACATTGCTTATTACCATGGATGTCTATAATTATTTTTTCGTTAAAAAATATAAGTTTTTCTGCTCTGAAGAACAATTTCGGTTTTGTGGGTTACTACGTGTTTGATCTCCAGCGTCGTCGATGTATAACAATACGCGCAAGACATATTCCGGTAACTAGAATAATGTATATTTTTTTTATTTTTACCTTGAGTGTAATGAATAATATTATTTTCAGGAAATGTGCCTATCATTCATTCTTTACTATCCCCGTACGGAGCTGGCAGGCTGTTACTCTATGACACCCGTGAAGGAATTCTTCGAAACATTCGGAGTCAAAGAATTCTACGGGCTCACTATGTTACAAGTGGAAAATATATTTCTTTCTTCAGGGTAAGATATATTTTATATTTAGATATCTATAAATATTTGGTTTATGATTATTTCTATCGCTAAAACTGGAAAGCAGACTATGGATGATACATAGTATAAATAAAAGACACTTCCAGCTGTCTGTACACTGAGATTTTTATACAATTACTTCTCACTTAAATTCAAATAATATGCCATCGAGCATTTATATTTTGATTAGTTATATTTTTTTCAGGAGTTTGGAAAACTTACCACCCCAATTAGAGACTGATATGCAACTAAAGTATTCTGAAGAGACCGTCATGCAAGGCGATGACCAAGGAGTAGGGCTAATGAGTAAGTTTGTACCAAATCAATATTATCATTGAATTTGCTCAATACAAAACGGTCTATCTTTTCATATGTTGATGATAAATTATACATGTGTTTGATACTTTTAAATAAGGAAGCGGTCTAATAGGTATATAATTATACTTCATTTTTAAATACGCTGTAGAAATATAATAAGAAAAAATAGTTTTTATATATGAAGCTTATAAGGTAAAAAAGCAATAGTTCGCGCTGATTATAAAACATAAGCAAACTGAATTCAGCAAATAAATAGCCCTGAGAATTAAAAAACTTTTGATTCATTTTTCAAAACATGCAGCTGTATTTTGAACATGATAATATTAAACCTTAACATCGTAACATCATTTTTGTGATATATACGATATTCAGCCAGTTGCACAAAAATCCATTAAAATTGTCATTAGTTATAAGCGACATTACCCATACAATTTTGACATTCATTAGAGCTTTAAGGCGTCGTTAAACCTTAATGGACGTTTGAATTTCTGTAAAATTTTCTTGTTCATTATTTATCGTTATTTTTACCATACCCATTAATTTGTTTTTCCTTTCATTTAGAAGAACTAGTTATACGAGAGCCGGCAGAGTTTAGAAACAAATCATTCATGGCGCACCTCAATGAAATGCCTTGGTCTGAAACACTATTGACTGAACAGATTGAGAAAACTCTGTACAAAGGCATGCACATGACATTCTGCAAGAAACGTGACGATACTTGGGGAGCTGTAAGTTATAATTAGTCTTTTATATTACGAAGTAAGAGTAACTCAAAGTTTTATTTTATACAGGGCTATTTCTGAAACATCAACAACCGCGCAGAATTGGATAGACGACATTATAAAAACAACGTATTATCTATTAACTTAACTATAAAGGTTCCATTGCATGGATACAATCCAGTGATGTATTTGCCATTTGAATTTTAAATCGTATGTCATAATATATTCCAAAGTGTGAAAATAAAAAAGTCACTGGCATTATTAAATATATTGGGCTGCTGTCTTCTTAAGTTTTTTACTGACGTTATGGAATGTATTAAATAACAAACGATTTAATGGTAAAATTTAAATGACAGGTTAATTGCTAGGTTGCAATTTAAATACTTTAAACAAAATTTATTTTCAATTTTTTCTTGTACCGACTGGCATTTATTTATATTTCATTTATAAACTAAAAAATAACTGCGGTCACGAATTGACGTAACTTTGGAGATACGCAAAGAGTTATTAAAATTTGAGTGGTGGGGAAGAGTAAAAATAAGGTATTTTTGTATGAACGTTTTATAAAAAATTAAACAAGCTAAGTCTTCGGTTTGTATGAGTAGATATTTAGTTGAATAGTATTGCGAGGTAATTAATGTATTACAATTGACCCTGTATATTTCTTTAAGTTATACTCGTATATTATCTTTACACAATTTCAACAAGTAAATGGCGACGGAGTAATCGTTCACGCGTTCAATCTGCGATTATGCGAGTTTATCAACTATCACAGGGGCCGGTGATAGGATGGGTGACCAAAATTATTATATTGAGCTCGGAAGGCGCGTTAAGCCGTTGGTCTCACGCGAACAGATGAAATTTTGTCGTCGATTTACGGATACGCCTGTAGAAATCTGAAGAAGAAGCCGTTTGTCCTACCAATCCGCACTGTCATGGCCCATACTTCCTATTCAATCTCATCGTAGGACATTAATATGCTGGTTATGAATAAGCGATTTCGACTTCACAAGGAGTAGAGGGTTTGTTCTGCTTTTGTGAAAGATTTCGAAAACGCCATGATCATGATACACTATGTGTAACAGTTTGCGAAGTTTCTGTTATCATCTCAAGTCGGTAATAATCATCATCATCAGCCCTTTTTACGTCCCCACTGCAGGGGCTCAGGCTTTCCTTATGGCTGGTTAAGGAGCATGGCCCTCCACGCTCGCCCAATGCGGATTGGAAGGTATTAACGACTGCAAATGCAGCCGGGACCAATGGCTTAAATCTTCCGAAGCACGGGGTAGCTCGAGATAATATTTTTTTGGTCACCCATCCCGTGACCGACTCTTCCAAAAGTTACTTAACGACAACGATCGCGGGCCGCGGCGCTTATCCGTTACGCCACCGAGCTACTTCTGCGATAATCATCTGCGATTAGAAATAAAAGAACAAGCAAACTGAGTACCTATGTTTATATATAGTTCTGTCAATTGGTGGTGGATTATCAAGCTATTTGTTAGCGGTTTGTGCCTAGTTTTATACTATCCGAAAACGATTTACTTAATGGACTTAGGAGCGATTAATTAAGGTTATTAGGCATGACCTCAATTAATGGCTCTTAAGCTTGCGGCTTCGAACAGTAAAATCGCTTGAATAAACATCAATAATATAAACATAATAGGTCGAATGCTAACGCTTCTTTTAAATACCTAAGTCATCATTAACAAATATTAATAATGACATAAAGCAGCAAATAAAATATTTAATAATATTATAGTTGGTACCTACCACACTTCATTTGTTAACACCTACCAATCAACACTCAGTGCTAATTGGGACTCAGTGGGTCCGCGTGGTGGGACTATGACCATTTTTCTCTATTTGAGTAAATCTGTGAGGAGATTAATAGGCTGATGATAAAGTTGATATATCTTTTTTTACAGCCTATTCAAATTCAAAACTACCCAACGTACAATGAATTGAAAACGAACGAGACAGCTGAGAAATCGTGCCACCAAAAGAGCGTGAGACTGCCCTCGGTGACTAATACAAACAGTTCTCCCGCCAAAACACCCTCCAGTTTAGCCGCCATCTTGGCTGTATGCACAGCAATTATAGTTGCGCGGTAATAAATAAAGAAAAAGTCATATATTATATTTTTGAAAAGTACACCAATGATGTTTTCTGTGTTGTTTATGTTTGTTTTCTGTGTTGTGAATGTTTATGAAATATTTGGAACAAACAGTGACCAGTTTCATATCTGAATGATATAGTATTATTTTGCCAAATTATGTATCATAATTTGTTTGAACGTTTATTATTTAATGATAGTTTTTTGTTTGTTATTATTGATCATTGCCATAATTGTAATGAGGAAGTATTTAAAAAGAAATAGTTCCCGAAATCAAACTAGATGTCGCTACGGTACTTTCTTGATTTCCCCATGACAACCCTTCCGATTTTCTTTCATGTATAAAAGTGAATTAATTTTCAAAACTTAATAAACAACTCATATTCTATTTGTACTTTTTCGTTTTTGTATAGATATAAGTTTCGAACTTTGCAAATTTCAGTTTTTAATATGTTAGTTAAAAGGAACGGAAATGACGATTCGTTTCCTGCAAAAATCAACTTTTGCTAGAGTCGCCATCTAGTGAGGTGCTTTTTAGTGCTTTCTTTTTTTAAATACTTCCTCATTGTGGAGTCAAAAATTTTCAATAGCTGCTAAGAAAAATAACCTCTTTTTCAAATGCTGTTAAATTGATTATTTAAAGCCATAAGTGGTATTAGAAATTTAGCACTATTTTATTTATTATGATTTTATGTGTGTATATGATTTTTTTTTCTGATTTTTACTCTGTTTATTTTTGTTTATAAATTTGTATATGTCGTATGTATTTCAATGTGGCAATGATCAGAAATAAAGTACACATCCCAGTATTGTTATCTGTCAAGGAATGCTAGGCTACAATGGACTGTGAACCAAAGGTTTTAATGTCTATATTGTATCGACAGACTTGTTTATTTTTCCACTTTCCTAATGTATGAGAATGAATGATTTAATATACGTGATTTTGAGTACTTATGTAGGTATGAGGTATTGCTCATTTTTAAAATTAGTTCTTTCTATTGAATATCTAATTTATATGAGGTAAATACAAAGTAGAGGTATTCTGCCCTCCTAAGCCAAAAAGGGGTATCTCAAAGAAAATAATTTTCTAATTAGTTTACTCAATTTTCTAAAAACCGATGTAATACAAATCGGATGTTTCGTTGATGAGGGCAGTAGTGTATTTTGAAATAACATATTTTGTTTCGAGAAATCTCTTTTTTTTACTGATCTGTGTAAGGTATTCCAATTTAATTTGTTTTTTCGATATTAATAATTATTATTTTGGTTGTGTTTCTTGAAGCATGTTTTCTTACAAACCTCTCTAATATTAAATTTGGAGGTAAATTAATGTAATTATATCTGTTATTTTTATTTGCTGGTATAAATATATTCTCAACTTGTAGTTGATTGAGTCATCATTGCGTTCCTTTTTTAGTCATTGGTATTTTTATTCACAAACAAATTTAGTTTTTATAAAAATGAATGTAAGCTCCAATATAATTCTCTACGACCTAAAACTGAGAACCGTTTGTTTTAACTGAATCCTGTTTTTGGTGAGAATAATGATAACATTAGAAATAAAACTATTAATAAGTGATTATTGAGAATGGTTTTCAGGAGAGGCTTTATTAAATTTACGTCAGAACAAAAGTTGAATACTCAATGCAATAATAATATTAGTATTTTATACTGTAAGGCATGTTTGTTTGTAATTTCTCGCATATGCTAATAATTTCAATAATGTCGAAAGCAATTAGAATATGTTTTTAACGGATGACTTAATTAATAATACCACTAAGGTGCTAAGTCTAATATGTTACAGTGCCTTAAATGAGTCATGTGACAACAGATAATAGTTTAAATATAAATACGCTTATACGTCGTATTAATTGCACAATTACCTTGTTGCATTTAAACTGTATTGAAATTCTTTAGTTATTTATATATGAGTCACTACAATATTATTATATGTGTAACTTTTTGTAATCAAACAATTTTGAAACTTAACATATTGTCTTTATGGTTCGTTTCTAATAAACTTCTTCGATCTTCTCTTTCCATTGTTAATGAAGTAGTTTCTTAGCTATACTATATTCGCTAATACATTAATTTAATACTATTTTTGTATGATTATTTCAAATGTAGGTAAGTATTAGGGCTGTGCTTTTTGGCTCTTTTGTAAAGCAGTTTTAATTGAAGTGTATTTTTGTAGAATTTGTGTATTATGTATAAATATTTTGTGTACGTGTGAAACAGTTTTGAAACGAAGCGATCAAGTCAATATTATTGTTGCTACGAAAACAATAATTCCGTATTTTGCATTTTTTTGTACTATATGCCTTTTTGTGAGGTATAAATAGTTGTAAGGTTACGCTTAGCAATTAAGTTTTATTTATTTGAAAAAAAAAGTCAATATAAAGGTTTTATTACTTTCGAAGTGTAGTTTTATTTTTCAATACGATTAATTTACACTGTCAATTGTTTTTACAGAATGCTCCAAAGAGTTTTGCTGTCGGTATTGAAATGTATTATCTATAAATTATCTGTATACTATACGATTAAAGAATTAAAAAAAAAATGATTGTTAGTTATATCACAGCACATTTAGATATAAAATAATATTTGTCAAATATAAGCCCTTTTACAACAGTAACAGTTAAGTTTGTCTTGACAATTTACATTTATAATAACATTCACTTATACCGTTTATTAATGAGTTCATCGTAAACTAATATTCAACAATTAATTAGTTGTTTTTTGAGAATCCACTTTTTTATAAAGAACTCCATTAACAATTATGTACTCTTGTGGGTTGTTCTGTGCATCAATTTTCTCTGTAGGCACAAGCGAATCTGAACTATCTAGATTACGATTACTGAGTTCATTATTGCCTGTTGGCATGACTTGCTGATTACCCGGATTGGAAGTTGGGTTATTGATATTCTGGTTGAAATTGTTGTTTGGCGGGTTGAAATTGTTGCTTGGCGTAGCGAAATTGTTGTTTGGCGGAGCGAAATTGTTGTTTGGCGGATTGAAATTCATGTTGTTACTCGTGGGTGGGTTGACGAAAATATTGGGTTTCTGTGGATAAGTCTGTGGATTTTTCCTGTGTGCTTCATATGCTTGCCAGTTTATAAACCAGAATGGTTGTTGATCTATAGGCAACTTGCTGAGTCTATCTACTAAATCTCTGTCGCCATTCGCTTCAACCGGTAATCTTACTGTTGTGGCATCATCTTCACCAAACCTAGAATTAAATTAAAATATAATTAACTAAGGATGAAAAAAAATTAACCATTTCAAGTACTAAGTTTCTTTACTATTCTGTAAAAATACAACGTCAGACAGCGATACCGCATTATTAATGGTTCAGTCAAATAAAACCTTTATTACTCTTTGAAGAAAATAGGTTTTATTTGATCGTACCTGTGATGCTACGATGGCGTACTGCTCGACTGTAAGCTATATTTTTGACGGATTAGCACTGACATCGTCTCTTTTAACAGGAGAAATTCAACAGTCATTAAAAAATGTCATATCTAAAATTAAATTTGTCAGCATTAGAGACATCTACTAATAATTTTTCGTTATATATATTTTTTCTTTAAGAGAGCTTAAGAAAGAGTGTGAAAACCCTACGCAAGTTCTAATGCTTCAACCGATTGAGAGTTGGTGCAAATCTGACGAAGAATCACAATCATTTAAAAAGTATACGTTAGTACGCGACGGATCATCAGTCGAGTGTGCAAGGTCATATCATATTTTTGTACAGATATGCACTAACCACATTAATTCGTATAATTGAATAGGTATTCTGTTACTACTGGATAATAGCATCGAATCTTTATATATGATTTTAACGACATTATAAGAGCGATTAGAAATTTTCCGAATTTACTTTCGTAGACTCCACTTTGTCATTAAGCTTTTATTATTTATGTATCTACAACTAAATGCTGGTAGTAATAAATTGAACTAAAGTTAAGTACTATATATTATCACATAAATAAGGTCGCGGAATATAGATGTTGAAATAAATACTTAGTCATTAGCTTCCTGTTTATTCAACAGGCCACAAGTCTCGTTTTCTTCTAATCTACTGTAGAGGCAAATAATAAATATTATCCGCATCTCGACTTTATAGCATAGGATTACATGATGTTATTGAATTTTTACCTACCTACCTACTTATTGAATTTTTTAAACCGGCTTCAAAATCGAAAATGAAGAGGTTGATGAAGTTGATGAATGATTTAAAAATAAAAATTAGCTTAAATGCCCAATTGGTAGTTTTATTTTTATTACAAAGCAATTTTTTTATATATAATATTACGTAAATAATGTGCCGAATAAAAGGCTATTTTTACTATTACGTAACTAGTAATATATTTTTGCTGTTTTCCATTACGAGGTGGGAATCTCACATCGTAGTGCTGTACTTTAAGCCATAAGTTAAGTCAAATGTTTTAGATCATCTAAATATATATAACTCAAAGGTGACTGACTGACATAGTGATCTATCAACGCACAGACCAAACCACTGGACGGATCGGGGAAATTTGGCATGCATGTAGGTGTTATGACGTAGGCATCTGCTAAGAAAGGATTTTGATAAATTCCACCCCTAAGGGGATCAAATAGGGGTTGAAAGTTTGTTTAAATCTTCTTAGATTTTTGACTGATTGAACTGAAATTAAAGGTTGGAGCTACTGAGATGAAGACGTCCGCTTAAATAGGACTGATGAATTCAACTCCCATGGGGATAAAATAAGGGATGATGGAGGATGTAAATGTATTAGTTTGAACCGATCAGTACCTATTGGAACGAATAAATAAATATTCGTTAGAAATGCTGCTAAACTTTAACACTCGGACGAATTCGCGTTCCAAAGCTAGTATAGATATAAAGCTAACAGCGGTCGACCGCATCTAATCCATTGCGTAGGTTTAAGAGGAGTTAAATGCCTGACAGTAACAGGAAATGACAGAGGCGAAGTCTAATGGAATTCTCATCATACATTTTTTAGTACTTTTATAAGAAAATACTTATGTATAACTGTATAAGGTTCTATAAATTATCTCAAAAACGAAAGGTCTAAAAAAATATTTTTATTAAAAAAAATCTAGCTTATTATCCCGCAACTTCCTCTGCTTAAATTATAGCCTATGTTACCCGCGTATGATGTCCAATGTAAACAAATAATCTATTTTTTCCTCTATAATAGCAGTGTTGGGTACATAAATGATTATTACCTATTTCCCAATCCTTCTGTGGTCGTCTTAATCACCTCTGGGTATCCTATCGGTCTGCTTCCAGCAAATGTAGGCCGTTGACCAGCAGCCAAGGTTGCAAACAACGCTACGAAAAAGATGTTTGTAAACATGTTTCTGTAAAAACAAAATCATACAATTAGAGTCCAGTTTTATTATCAAACCATTGACATTATGAATATCGTAACTCATATTCCGGTCTAACTGCATGCGTCAGATGTGGTATTTTTTCGTATTTGATGGGTTGGGTGTTTTTTTATGTATTTGAGTACGCATATCAAGTTATCACGACAAAATTCCCAATTTGAATTTGAACTTAACTGACAACATGTTAAGTTTCTAAAATAGGTTAAATAAATTCGTCAAATGGTAATAATCTGATGTGTTTTTAGTTTCATATTTATATGACTACCTTCATATCCACCCCTAGATATTACCTTCGTATTTACATCAAGGTTTACTACTAATGTACATCAAAAACATACATACCGCTTTGTAATCGACTTACTAATCACGAGGTCACATCATCTAGCCATCTCAACATAAACGTGTTGAATAAATGAAATCATTATCCCATTCTCTTTTAAGTCTCTGATTACGAAAAATCTATCAAAACAATCACTTAAATCGAAAAAAAAAGATAACAATGCTTATTTTTTATGACCGTCGTGTCCGCAAAACAAAAAAAGATCAATAAAAAAAGGTTTACATAAAATTAATGATAGGTACGTCATATCAATAAACTGTCAAACGATATTAAATTAAAAACACGGGATCTAATTTGTTTAAAAAAATGTGGTATTTTGAATAATAAAAATTACCGGTTCTTAAAGCTTCCTTAGAAAAAAAAAACACAAACACTCCAAGCAAAGGTTGAAACCAGACTGACCGCAGCAAAAATAATGAAATACTTTTTATAGTAAGCACAAAGCGATTAAGGAAAATCAGAGAACCAGACTATACATAGCGCGGAAATACCTTAGAGCTGTGGGAGAAGATGAGTAATAATATAATAAAATTAAAGGAAATCATACCCGTATCCCCCCATATTACGTGTGTGACAATAACTTGTCGATAAGTTTTTGAGATAAGGTAAAATGCGCTTGCGCATTTGGTGCGTCAGTCATTGAATCGCTTTCTTCTTAGAAAATATTGATAAGGGCATGTTTATGTTTTTTATGTCGCCGAATTAGAATCTATTCAATACAAAAACATAAGCAGAAAATAATAATAACATTTTTTTTTTTAAATAATGAAGTCAATTTACTTTTGCTATACAACGTTAAAATTGTAAATAATAAAAAAAGTTCTTATCTAAAATAAAATATAGGTATAAAGTACTTACTTGATTAAATGATACGATGAGTAGCAGAGAATGCGCTCGCTGCCATGCGAATTTTATTTGGGACGAAAAAACGGTATATTGTTACGCATGTCTGATGATATTGAGATAACGGGTCATCTGGACGGGTCTGTTGGTTAATTATAGAATGTTCATTTTAGAAAATAAATACACGTATTAATTCCTATCTTTAATATTTTCTCTGATAACTTTTAACACGTAATCTTATTATAGGTAGGTACTGAAGTTCATACACATCGCCTATGAATAGTTGGCTGATATGTTTCTCATGTATCTATTCTAATATTATAAGGAGGAAAGAGTTCATCGTTTGCATTCAATAGGCTTCGAAACTACAGGAACGATTTGAAAATCTACGGGAACCTACATCATACGCGGGTGACATGATATCTTATAGTTTTTCTCTAAGCATAACATGGGTTTACTTTACGCGGGCAAAATCGCGAGATTACAGGACTTCGAAAAAAAAACTAGCAAATAAATCACGTTAGTATTCTTAACGAAAAATACTTGAAAATCCACTTTGTCCCTGGCACTCTACACATAGCTTTAAAATATGAATAGCTTTTTTAATGAATACACGTGTTTTATTTGCACCAAACCGGTCAAGTGCGAGTCAACTCGAAAACGAACAAACAATCATGTTTGTTGTATGGGAGCCCCCTTAAATATTTGTTTTATTCTGCTTTCTAGTATTTGTTGTTGAAGCGGCAACATTAGTATATCATCTGTGAAAAGAACAATGATCAAAATGGACTACGAAAAAAAAGTTCTTGTACCAAGATGGAACTATCACCAAAATGTAGTATAAGTTGAATGTAATTATTATATATCAACAAATTATTTTTAAAAGCTGGGAATAGAAAGATAATCCTCTCTAAAATATGTCTTTATTTTTTAGAACGCAGTTTAAATTATGTTATTTTTGAACGCATCTTATTAGAGTTTGGCAAGCGAAACGTGACACCACCTATTTTTCCGTTTTCATATGGCAACAACATAGAACTGTCAGTTTGACACTACGTTAGACAATTCAAGAATATTGAATTTTGTTGTTTTTGCGAATTTGAACTTGTGTTTTTGGTTAAAAATTATGTCGAAGCCGATAAAAAGTTCATCGAGGAAACTTCTTTCCATCATGATTGACAAGTTTACTGAAGTGAAAACTGAATTAAATAAAAATTTCATGGAGAAATTACAACGATTAGATAAAGTTGTATCTTTTTTAGGTTAGTTTTGTATTATAATTTTGATACTTTCGTTTTAATTTTCTGTAATTAACTAAACAGATATTTTTTATAAAATATTGCTCTATTTCAGATAACTGTGATGGTGATATTCAACCAATAATGGAGGAGATAAATGCAATAAAAACTTTAGAAAAACAAGAAATGCTGAATTCGGAAACGCAGTACTTACAAAAAATTTCTTCAATGACAGGTCTCTTTTCTTGTTTTGATTTAAGATAGATTGATAGTATTCCTATAATATTTACATAGGTTTTTTATGATGTATTGGTTTTTATTGTTGACATCCAATGATGTCATAAGAATGTTTTGTTTAACAAGGAAATTCACAGAATTCATGAAACTAATCAAACCATGTAATTGTTATACATGCTAAATATGCACATAAACTTAACTAAATTAAACATAAATTGCATTCATAGTTGAATAGGTATTTAAATTATTTTGATGTATGTGTCTATCATTATTTGCTTTTAAATACATTTAACATATCTTTGTTTCAAAATGTTTAATCTTTTATAGATGTAAGTATAAGGACACTAAGAAGGATAAAAAATGAAGCATTAATTAATAAAGGAAAATGGGACACTCCTGGGAAAAAACGACCTCATCAACCAACAGTGTCTGCTTTAGATAATTTTGATTTAAGTGCAATTCGGAATAAAGTAAATGAATTTTACTGTGTGAAAAAAATTGTTCCAACATTAAGAAGCCTTCACAATGAATTAAAAGATGCAATAGGATTCAGTGGTAGCCGTGAGACTTTACGAAAAATTATGCTTAAGAATGGATTTTCTTTTAAAAGCAATGAAAATGAACGTTCTATGCTTATAGAAAAATACCAGATTTCTGCATGGAGGCACAAGTATTTGAGAGAAATAAATATAAAACGAAACGAAGGAAAGCAAATTGTGTACCTTGATGAAACTTATGTACATCAGAATTATAAAGTTAAAAAGTCTTGGCAAGGACCTTCAACAACTGGTGTCACTACAAAGATATCCTCTGGAAAACGGCATATTGTTGTGCATGCTGGATCTGAGGAAGGTTTTGTGCCTGGTGCATTATTAGTGTTCAGTAGTAAATCCAAATCTGCTGATTATCATGATGATATGAACTCATCGAACTTTATGAAATGGGTCAGAGAAAAATTAATACCAAATTTAAGTAAGCCCAGTGTAATTGTTATGGATAATGCCAGCTACCATATAAAACAAATCAATAAACCGCCTATAATGTCTAATACCAAAGCAGATATCCGTAAATGGCTTGTAAATAATGGAATACATTTTGAGGAATATCAGACAAAGGCAGAGTTAATGTGTTTGGTTAATGATAAGAAAACATTGCCTGTATATGAAGCTGAAGAGATTTTAAAAGAACATAATCATGAACTTTTATTGCTGCCACCGTATCATTGTGACTTAAACCCAATAGAGATGGTTTGGAGTCAAGCAAAAAGAAAAATTGCAAGCAGAAACATTGGAATACCAGGAAAGGAAATGGAAAACTTAATAATAGAGTGTTTTAACTTAATTACCCCTAGTGACTGGAAGAAATACACTGATCATGTTTTAAATGTCGAAAATGATTACAAATTAAAAGATGGCATTGTTGAAAACGAACTTGAAAAATTTATTATATCTGTTGGTGCAGACAGTAGTGAAGAGAGTGACTCTGATGATTCCTTGTCATTGTTATCAGGTGTAGAATATTTAGAAACAGATTTTGACTATGAATCAGACTAAAGTATTTTTAGTCTGATTCATAGTCAAAATCTTATCTTAAATTTTCTATTGTGATTAACATGATGATTTTGTGACACCTGTATTATGTAATTTATCCATGGCACTTAATTGTAACAAAAATAAATGTTTTTTTTATTGTAATCTGGTGTTTATATTGACTAATTTAATTTGATAGATAGTGGTTCTGGATCAGAGCAAAAGGTTGTGATGAAAATCCCTTAGGAGACATGTATGTGTTATGAACACATTATAAATATAAGGGCCAGAAATCAAAATTGGCTAACATCACATTTATTAAAAAAATGTGGCCAGAGTCGCCCATATTCATTACAAAAAAACAAAGAAGTCGTTGCAAAAAACACCCTTTTAATTAATGACAAATATGAATTTTTAATATTATAAGTGCTGTTAGCCAATAGGTATAACGAATGGGTTAAAAAAAAGATTCGATTTAGTCCGTCAGTCAGATAATAGAAAAATATTGGATACGTATTTTTTTTCGCTTTAATTTAACAACAAATGGCTTAAGAGGTACTATGCGACGACTTCAAATATGCTTTGCAACAATGTTACTTTAATACAGTTTATCGATACGAAATCAAGTGTCAAAATGGAGTCCAGTGGAGAATGCCGATATTGACATTTCGAAATTGCTCATCATTGATAGAGAATACGAAATAGTGATTTTGACACAATCAAAGTGTCTATTTTTTACGGTGATGACGATTCTTGGTTGTCAGTTGAGTTAGTGAATAGGCCTACTGATATGCTGTTAACTGTACAATTAAGAACAGTCACGCTTTAGTCAAATGTTCCAAAACAAATAATTTTAATTGATATCTAAATGTTAAGATTAAATATAATTAATAAAAGTATCAAAATTATTTTGCAGTACTACATTCAGTGTTTACTGCTTAAGAATTTTTGAAATTGCCGCCCTTTTCTTGTGACACGTTTCGCTTGCCAGACTCTAATAATGTCATTCCTAGAGAAGTCCCTCTCTTTTCAAAGAAGAAGAAGATCGATTTTATTTCTGACTAATCGAATTTGATAATTTTATATTATTTGATCATTTGATTGATTTGATTGATCTTATATTATTTACTAACCATATAAATCCGTGAAAATTATAAAACTTAGATTAGATTACTAATATAATTGGATGTTACTTAGAGGAAAATAGTTTATTTATAATGAAATTAAAAACAAATGATTATTCATAAGAATCGATATTACAGTATTCAATCGATTGCGACCTCCCTTTTTTAGACAAATATGTGTAGACGTGTTTCTACGTAGACCGTTTTGTAACTTTGGCGGTGATTTTGTATTATCTTCTGTATTATGGGGAGCATACCATGGTCAGTATAGAATTGAGGTTTGGAGAGGAATACCGGATTTTCTGGATTTATTAGAATTAGACTTAAATATAAATAAAGTCCTAATTATAAGGGGTAGAATTAAGTCGAGACATTGGGAGGAAACAATATTATATGTACATTTTAAAGAATAATGACACATCCTGGTTAGATAGCATAAGAGAACACTGCTGTAATTGTCTTATTGGTCGATGTACACTGGG